GTCATTGACTCTTCCTGGGCCTCAGTTTCCTCATCTTTAAAATGACAGCTCTTCAAGTTCCAGATCCGTGATCCTTGATCTTCTTCACCTCTAATGATACTTTCACTGTCTCCCTCACAGGGCTGTTGGGAGAAAAGCACTTTGCAAGTGGTAGAATGCTGTAGAAATTGGACCTCATATTCTGATGAGTTGTTTTTCTTTTTGGAAGTCATCTCATAGGCCAAAACATCAACTCCAGACACATGTTTGTATCCCTAGAATCTTGTTCAGACATGGGAGGATCATTTCCTAATTCAAAAGATAAACACTTCTCATAGAGTCAAGTAGAGGAAGGCGTTTCCATTGCAACAGGTGTTGCCCGTTAGTTCTAGCAGCGTTTGGCATCCCCTCCCCTTTCGCCCAAGCCTTCAGCATGATACATGATCAGCCACTTACATCACTGGGGTGAGATGTACTGTCCTCTGTCCTGGAACCTTTGCTTTCTGAGACAACATTTCCCCTCTAAAACATCCCGTTTGGCCAATTTCTGAATTCCCCACATGCAACACAAGCATCAGGGGCTTCAACACCTCCCCGGGCATGCCAGGCAGAATGTTCTACAGAGAATTCCACTGGAGGCCAGAACCAGATCAAGGGGTTGAAAACAGCAGGATCCTAGGACTTTTAGAGTGGGAAGGGACCTCAGGCATCATCTAGTCCAATATTCCCATTTTGCAGGTGAGGAAACTGAGGCACAGAGAGGTCATGGGACTTGCCCAAAGTCACCGGTAGTAAGCACTGAAGGTTAGGTTTGACCCTGGGCCTCAGACTCCCAATCCAGTGCTCTTTCTATTACACCACACTGGGTCACGCATGGAGTTAGTAACCTACAAAAGGGTGGGCATCTTGTTTCTCAATTACAGTTGTCCCCTTCTCAGGACTCCTCCTGAGCATGCACAGATGTCTGTCAAACCTTGGGCCGTCACATCTCTTCACCTTGACTGGACTGATGACATTTCCTTATGCTATCCACTGTTCTTTTCCCAGCTTGGTTACTGATTTGTATCCTTTGCTGTTCCCAGCTTTTCCACCTTACTTTAACCTCATTGATGGAATCTATTGATTTTCTATCTTCTATCTCAGCTACTTTGGCAAGAAGGCCAATTACCGCCTTGCCCCCACCCCCACATCCCACCCCATCCCTGCTCGCCGCCTCCATGTTCAGGAATGGAGAAATTAGTCATACTGATTCCTAAATCTGTGGCATAATGAGAACCTCGGATCCATTCCCCCTCTGTTCTAATGCCTAGAGTCTTTGCTCCTATCATTCTCCCTGCCTCAGTAGAGGTTGCAGCAACATGGGGCAATAAGGGTTGGGTTGGGGACAGGGGGATTGCCTCTTGTTTCTATTACAGGATTGGAGTGGCAAGATCTTCTCTTAACAATGCTCACAGGAGGAGACTGGAGGGTTCTGCAACTCAGGATCAGATAATCAAGAATTTAGAGCTAGAAGTATCCTAAACAATCACCTCCTCCAATCCCCTCACTTTGCGGATGAGGCTGACACATAGGGAAGGGAAGGAAGCTTTTCTTTGTTGTTATTCAGTTGTTGTTTTTTTTTCCAGATCTGTCCAGCTCTTCCTGATCCCATTTGGGGTTTTCTTGGCAAAGATCCTGGAGTGGTTGGCCATTTCTTTCTCCAGCTCATTTTACAGATGAGGAAACTGGAGCAAACAGGGTTAAGTGATTTGCAGAGGGTCATATAGCTAGCATGTGTTTGAGGTCAGATTTGAACTCAGGAATATGAGTCTTCCTGACTCCAGGTCCGATGCTTTATCCACTGGGCCACCTAGCTGCCTGAATTTTCTTTTCTTTTCTTTTCTTTTCTTTTCTTTTCTTTTCTTTTCTTTTCTTTTCTTTTCTTTTCTTTTCTTCCCTTCCCTTCCCTTCCCTTCCCTTCCCTTCCCTTCCCTTCCCTTCCCTTCCCTTCCCTTCCCTTCCCTTCCCTTCCCTTCCCTTCCCTTCCCTTCCCTTCCCTTCCCTTCCCTTCCCTTCCCTTCCCTTCCCTTCCCTTCCTTCCCTTCCCTCTTTTCTTTTCTTTTCTTTTCTTTTCTTTTCTTTTCTTTTCTTTCTTCTTTTTCTTTTCTTTTCTTTTCTTTTCTTTTTTCTTTTCTTTTCTTTTCTTTCCTTTCCTTTCCTTTCCTTTTCTTTTCTTTTCGGTGAGGTGATCAGGGTTGAGTGACCTTCCCTCACACAGCTAGTAAGTGTCAAGTGTCTGAGGCCAGATTTGAACTCAGGTGCTCCTGCCTCCAAGGCCAGAGCTCTAGCCACTGTGCCACCTCGCTGCCCCCATGCCTGAACTTTCTTAACATTTTAACTTCTGTCTGATTAGGCAGTCCAGTTTGAGTGGACATAAACTGTGACAATATAGTATTAGCCCCCAGAGAGGAAAGATAAAAACTTCTTTCCATAAGCAGAGGCTGTGGGATTGTGTCCCTTTAGCTTGATGTATGAGCAGTTTGGATTAGGGTCCACTGGATCCATCAGATTTAGAGTTAGAGGTCTTGGGTTCAAATCTTGGCTCTGCTACTTACTGTCTCTATGAGCTTGAACATATAGCTTTTCTTCTCTGAGCCTCAGTTTACTCCAGTGTAAAGGAAGTAGCCTGGACTTTCAGATCTCAAATCCTCTGTCCAGTCTGCAAGGACTCCAAATACTCCTCTTCTTCTCATAATGACTGGAAAGTCTTTGTTTTTGTGCAGGCATCTGGCATCCTCTGGTCCCAGTCTTAGCTAGAGTTTAGTAGCCCAGAAAGGATTGGAAGGCCCTGTAGTTAGATATCTTCAGGGAAATGACTGTATGAGAAATTGGAAAGGTGTGGCCTCCTGCTTCTTTGCCCTGGCAAAGGCAAGCTACGTGGTCCTGGCTTGTTGAAAGCCTCTAAATTCTAGCCATCTCCAGAAGCAGGGGTTGTTAGAGGGTTTCTGAGGTGCAGTTTTTTCTCTCTCCACTAGGGGGTGGGGGAGTTTGGAGGACCCAAATGAACGCCGTCTGCCTAAAAATACTAATCAGGAAAGAAATGCTGATCATGTTAGAGATGAGCTGAATGATGGAGCCTCAAATAATATGTCTTAGAGTCAAGAATACTGGGCTTGTAGTCAAGGGACCTGAGTTCTAATCCTAGCATCACTATGTAGTACCTGTGTGTCCACTGGGCAAGATATTTCAGCTCTCTGTATTTCAGTTTTCTTATTGTACGGAAAAGGGTTTGGTGCTATCTGAGATGTCTTTGAGCTCTAAAGCCTGTGATCGGGGAAATTAGAGATTCAGTTGGCTACATACCTGAAGCTGGTCTGGTTCTAAGTGAACACTGTAGATTTGGATTTGGCTTAATCTGCCCCAACACAGTATCTGAGAAGGCTGTCCCTATGAGCAGTCTGTGGCTCGCGTCATTCACACTTTCTACCCATTTCCCCTTGCTTCCTCCTCCTTCCCAATCCGCAATGGTTATAGGATATGCTAGGGCAGGGTCAGATTTGTCTGTCTGTCCCTGTCTCTCTGTCTTTGTCTCTCTCTCTCTCTTTCTCTGTCTCTCTCTCTCGTGCACACATGCACACACATACACGTTCAGTCATTTTTCAGTCGTATGTTATTCTGTGACCCCATTTGGGGTTTTCTTGGCAGAGATACTGGAATGGTTTTCCATTTTCTTCTACAGCTCCTTTGCCAGAGGAGTAACTGAGGCAAACAGGGTTGAGTGACTTGCTCAGGGTGATACATACATGGGTCATACAGTCAGTATTTTGAGGCAGGATTTGCAGGATCACATACAGTAATCATAGCAATACTAGAAACTGGAATGAAGATCATAGGACCATAGATTTAGAGCTGGAAGGGACTTTAGAGACCAGCTCACTCATTTGACAGATGAAGAAACTGAGTCTGAAAAAGGTTAAGTAATTTGCCCAGGGTCACACAGCTATACTAGTCACCCCTGAAGGAAGTATGGTGCAGGGGAAAGAGCTCTGCATTTAGAATCAAAGGACTTGGTTTCAGATCATACCCTGGCATCCATTGTGTCTCTGGTGTGACTTTCCAGGGGTGGGCAACTTGCGTTAAGCCAGTCACTTGACCTCTCTAACCCTGTTTCCTCATCTATAACATGAGGGGTGGGACCAAATCATCTCTAGGGACTCTTCCCATGTTCTAGATCTGTGATCCTCTGATTCTTCCTTGCCACCGTTCGGAATCAGCTGTTGCCATGGAGAATTATGAAGGGCCAGAAGGGTGGAGAGCTGCATCCCACTGCCGCGGAGAGGAGATGGGAAGCAGTTGGAACGGTCTCCCGAGCTCCAAATCGCCCGAGAAACAACTGATTGTTTCAGTTTGAGGGAATTCTTTGTCAAACTCCATGTTTTGTTACCTGCCTCTGTTGGCCACAGCCAGCTCTAGGCTTTAGCTTTCTAAACACCCCTAGGACTTAGTTGGAATATTTCTTTGGGTCCGACTTCTACCTCAGGCGCCGGTGACGGGCTCTGGCCCTTCGGCCTCCCCAACCCTTGCTCCTATTGATCCATTTTGGATTCAGTCCAGCCCCACTTGAGGACCTAGAGAGCCACATGTGGCCTCGAGGCCGCAGGTTCCCCACCCCCCAATCTTGACCTCTGCATTTTCTCTGCTGGGAGCGACGGTACAACCCCATCAATCAATCTGAAATGCTGGGGGGGGGGTGGAGTAGAGCTGGTACAGTGTGCATCCCCTCAAAAGGGAGGAAACAAAATCAAGACCTTCCCAGTCGTCCACATTGAATAGTGCTCTATGCACCCACAGCATAAATGGAACCTGGAAAGCCCAGAGCTGGAGATGGGAGTGAGGAGAATCATAGGCCACAGGACTCAAAACTGGAAGGGGACTCAGACACTTTGTAGAAGTGAGGAAAATGAAGCCCCGAGAGGGGCAGTAAGTATATTGTCCAAGGGCCCCAGGGTGTTTCTCTGAGCCCCAGTCTTCTCTGTCACCAGCGTAGCAGCCGGCCATGGGTCCGAGAGGAATGGCTGCCTCAGGAGTGAGTTGCCGTTTTCTCGCCGTCGGTGCCATCGTGAGCCCTGGAGCAGGAGAGCGCTTGGTCATTTCTCAGAATCTCGGTAAGGGATGTTTTTAGGGTAGTGAGCTTATTGCTCATTTTACATTTTTCAGTCTTTCGCAAATTAAAGTTAAAAGTACACAAGTTGCCCCTTCCTTTTTTTTTTTTTGGCTGTCACAGGTGTGTAAAATACAAGTCATGCTTGCTGTTGTAGCAAATACTTAGAAACAAACTACGGGCTTATTGGCTGGTGAGTGGCTGAATAAGTTGTGGTCTGTCACTATCATGGGCTTTTATTTTGCTGTAAGAATGATAAATAAGCAGAATTCACTGCAACTTGGGGATTCTTCACATGAACTGAAGGAAAGTAAGTGAAATAGGAGCCAAGAAAATAATTGACACGATCACCGTAACACAAGAGAAAACAATATTGAAAGATTTTAGAGCTCTGATCAATGTAGTGAACAATCTGGAATTCAGAAGACTGACAGTGAAATGGACACTTCCCTCCCTCTCTTCAGAGGCTGTGGGTGGGTAACAAGACATAATTTTGGCACTCGTGGGCAGTACATCCATTTGTTTTGCTTAAATGTACTTTGTTCCACAGAAAGGTCCTTGGTGGGAGAGCGCGATCAATGATAGTGATTAAAAAAAATCAATTACACTTTTGTAAAAAAATGGAGTATATGCTAACTATGAGCCTATGAGGAAAAGTAGAAATAAATGCATGAAGACTCCCAATGGGGATTAAAAAGGCATGTTATGATATGCATTAAAGTTAAGGAATAAAAATGTGAATAGTTACTGAGCAAGTTCAATAGTTTATATTGAAATTCAATGCTTAAATCTGATAAGGGTATAATATCCAAGATATGTAGGGAGTTAACATAAACATTGACAAAGCCATTACTCAGTGGATAAGTGCTCAAAAGATATGAACAAAAAGTTCTCAAAAAAAAAGAATTTCAAGGTATTATTGACCACATGAAAGACTGCTTCACGTAACTAATAATATGAGACATGGAAAACAAATCAACTTCAAGGTTTCACCTCACATTGAGCAAACTGGAAAAGATGGCAAAGGATAGAAATAATGTTGGAGGAGTTTTGAGAAAAAACAGATATTCATACATTTTAGGTGGAACTCTGAATTGGTCCAACCACTTGGGAAAGTTATTTGGAATTATTCTGTAAAAAATGGCTAAAGTATCTATACTTTTTGGTCTAGAGATCACTGGTAGATATATGCTGCAAGTAGGTCAAAACCAGAAAAGTCCACTCATTGTAAAATATTTATAGGAACATTTTAGTGGTAGCAAAGAGGTAGAAATTAAGTACCTGCCCATCAATTGGGGAATGGCTAAACAAATTTTGGTATATGAATATAAAGGAATATTACCATGCTATAAAAAGCAATGATATGAAGAAGTGAGAGAAACAGGAGAAGATTTATATGAAGGATACAGAAGGACATAAGCAGAACCAGGAAGACAGTACGCACAATGATGACAACAGTGTAAACAATGTAAACAAAAACCTGAAATTGAACGCTATGAAATTATGACTCAGCTGAGCCCTGGACTAAGCTTTGCTCCTCTCTCTGCACTTGGGGCCTGTGGCTATAACCATTGCCCCAACTTCCTTTTTTTTTCTTCTTTTAAAATCATTGTTACAAGGAATGACTTGTATATAGGTATGTAGGGGGTAGCGATGGATCTATTTGGAAATGAAGACAATGAGAAAACAAGCTATCAATAAAAGTAACATCAAAAAGAAATTTAACGTTAAGTTTCTAATAAAGCCTTTAATTAAAAATAAGTTTTAAGTGCTATTTTAAAGGGTAACGTTTCTCTGCGGGATGTGGTATAGGAGAAAGTAAACTGGACGTGGTGTTAAAGATCCCGGCATTCAGTGCTGGCTCTGAGACTTCTTTGTTGTGTCACCATGGACAAGTCACTTTGACCTTCGTTTCTTCATCTATAAAATGGGACAATAATAACATGGTTCTTCCCCACTTGACGCTGTGGTTGTAAGGAAAGTGCATTGTTCATCTTTAAGTGCTAAGGAAACGTGAGCTTTGTGAGACAAAGCTTAGTGAACCTCTGCCTGGTAAAGTTCTTTCACGGTGCTTTCCCAAGGGGAAGATAAAGTATGGCAGGAACCTGACACTTGTACCAGATGGGGTGTTAACTTGTTGGGCGGGGACCCGGAGGCCCGCAGACCACATGTGGCCCTCTAGGTCCTCAGGTGTGACCCTTTGACTGAATCCAAACTTCACAGAATAAATCGAGGCCACAGGTTCCACACCCCTGGATTGAAATGAGCACGAGGGAGGGGCAGTTTTTGAAAATGTGAAATAATTCTAGCTCTCTACCCTTCCCTGCTCCCACTTTCTTTTCCTTTTAAGATTCTGACTTTTTCCATCTGAAAAGTTCCCCAGACCAAAGCTTTGAGATGGGCGATTACTGAATAATATGTTCATTTCCCTCCTGGTTGTGGTATTGATTCTCAGGACTTTGCTGCCATGATCCATTGCTGTTTCATCCCGGAATGTATCTCCTCTATGCTGACCCTCTTCTCATATTGATAAGTTCCCTCTAGGATCTCCATTTTGAAGACAGTCCCTGGATGGTCATTTCTCTCCTGCCTGCATTTCTGACTCTCACGGCTTGGCCACCTCACTTGCAGGTACCAACTTCTTTCTCTCTTCCCTACCCCTGCCTTTTTAAGCTCCCTTTTATGGGTTGTCTTCCCCTATTAGAATGTAGGATCAGACTGTCTTTTTTTTCTTTCCCTTTTTCTTTTTGCTTGCTTTTGTATCTCTAGAACTTAGTACCATATCTGGCACACAGGCAGCATTTAATAAATACTTGATGCCTGCCAGATAGATTTTAAAACTTACCGTTTTTTTAATAGCTATGACCAAATATTTGGAAATATTTGCATATTTTGGAATTATTCCTTCTTTCATTCTTCGGCCCGACCCACCCCCAATCCATCAAGCCTTTATTAAATAGATGACTTTGTTATATATTTATATCAAATCTCCATGTATCTTGAATATTATGCTCTTATCAGATATAAACATTGAATGTCAATACAAATATACTTAGTTACTATTCACATTTTCATTATCACATGTCATATAACATTTATTTTAGTCACATTGTGTGATTGGCACTATGCTGAACAGTAGGTATACAAAGAAAAAAAATTAACTAATAAGCTCCTGCCCTTAATGAGCTTATATCTGTGTGTGTGTGTGTGTGTGTGTGTGTGTGTGTGTGTGTGTGTGTACATATTTGGGTGGGGATAAGGAACATAACATGTATACAGATTTGATGAGTGAAAGTGTGACATGGTGGGTAGGACACTGGACTTGGAGTCTGTAAGACTTGGGTTCAAATCCTGCCTTAGATACTTACTATCTGTATTACCCTGGTCAAGTCACTTAACATCTCTGTGCCTCAGTTTCATCATATGTAAAATGAGGAATTGGACATGATGGCTTCTAAGGTATCTTGCAGCTCTAAATCTATGATACTATTCTATCTATCTATCTATCTATCTATCTATCTATCTATCTATCTCTTAACTTCTTTGTGCCTCAGTTTCATCATCTATAAAATGAAGAGTTGATTTGATGTCTTCTAAGGTACCTTGAGGCTCTAAATCTATGATTTTATGATGTGTGTGTGTGTGTGTGTGTAAAATATATGCATATGCACACACATATAGATATTATTAAGTAAAAAGTGTTATTGGTGTGTATTATCTTTATATTAGTCATTTCTGTGGAGCCCCTTCCAGATTGAGCCCTTTTTTGTGAAAAAGTATAATAATTGAGTAAAAAGTATGCTATGATAACTGTATGGAACCATATAAACAACACTTCTGCCCTAGTAGTCCCTAACTCTATCTTCTATTTGATCCAATGAAATTAAAAAAAAAACCCATTTGTTAAGCATTTATTATGTTCTAGATCACAAGGACACTAAGACAAAAAGGACATTGTCCTTCCCCTCTTGAAGGTAACATTTGAGGGAGGGGAGAAATCCAACACATTTATATTGAAGCTTAGTCAGGGTAACTTGAGGTGGGGAGAGACATTAACTACTGGAGTGGTGGTCAGCAAAAATAGACATTTTGTAGGAAGTAGTGCCTGAATGGAGCCTTGAAGGAGGCTTGGGATTCCAAAGGAGGCAATGACTCTCATGAACGATGGACAATCTCTGCAGAAGCATGGCGGGAGAATATGGAATGTCTTGTGTGCATGATAGCAAGTGGGCTCATTTGGGGCTCAAATGGAGGTTGGGTTGAGTGGAGTAATATGAAATTAGCTGGAAAAGTAAATGTGAACAAGATTGTGAAGGGTCTTTAATGCCAGGCTACAGAGTTTCTATTTTACTCTAAAGGTAATAGGGGCTCACTGAAAAGTTGTGATCAGGGGAGTAACATCACGCTCTTAATCTAGGAGTATTAATTCTGCAGCTTTATGGAAGACAGCTTAGGCTTATGGAAAGAGCCTACGTGGAGTGAGACTGCTTCGGAAGCTATTGCAACACTTCAGGCGAGAGGTGATGAAACAGGAGATTAGTGGCCACGTAAGTAGATAGAAGAAAATCAACTTGAGAAACATTATAAAAGTAGAACTGACAAGACTTGGCCATCTCTTATGGCTGTCTTGGACCCTCTTCTCTTTTTATACTCTTTCCCTTGGTGATTTCAGTACCTTTCATGGACTTATTTATCATCTCTATGAAGATGACTCCCAAATCTCCAATCCAGTCTTAATCTTACTCCTGAACTCTAGTACAGTATTATCCACTGGATACCTTCATCTGGGCATAGAGAAAAGTATCTCAAACTCAAGATGTTCTCATTTTATTTTCCCTCGTATTTATCCTTCTTCAAACTTTCACATTTCTGTTGATAGTACCATCATTTTTATGTTCACCTACATTTATTACCTTAGAGTCAACTCTTACCCTCATGTCTAATCAATTGTCAAGCCTTATCAATAACTGTCTCCATAAGATTTCTTATATCTCTCCCACTCATACAGCCTCTGTCCCTATTCACATCCTCCTTATCTCTCGTCTGGACTACTGCATTAGCTTCCTAATTGGTCTCCTTGCTTTCATTCTCTTCTTTCTTTAGTCCATCCTCCATACAAAGGCCAAACTGATATTCCAAAAGCCATATCTGAAAATGTCTTTTTGAAAACTATCATTGATTTGCAATTACCTATAGGATAAAATACAAAATTCTCCTATGTCCTTTTCTAATCTCTTCATTTCATTTACTTTCACTCATTCTCTGTTCCTGTCAAACTGGCTTTCTAGCTATTCCCCATCGCAGTCATTCCATCTATTTGCTGTCCCTTTGCACTAGTGTTCTCCCCTGTATAGAATGCCCTCCCTTCTCCCTTTCATCTCATAGAATCCCTAGCTTCCTTCAAAGCACAATTCAGTTGCCACCCTTTAATCAGTTCTTTTATTATCCTCAGAACTATTCGCACTCTTGAAATGACTTTCTATATATTTGACATTCAGAGGGGCAGTTTGTTGTAGTGGATATAATGCTGATCTCAAAGCCATGAAGACCTAGGTTCAAGTTCTTTGTGCCTAGGCAAGTTCCTTAACCCCTCAGTGTTCTAGGAAGCTATCTAAGACGATACATAAGTTGCAGAAAACAAGGTGTATTTATAGAGAGACTTTCTGAATCTGTGAGTTCCAATGAAATCATAGGACTAATTCCTCTCCCCATCTCTATATTTTATATTTACTTACTTTTGTACATATCATTCCTCCTTCTGTAGGATGTAAGCTCCTTAAGGGCAGGAACAGATTCATTTTTGGCTATTCTCAGCATCTACCTCAATGATTTTTGCATAATATCTTAATAAGTGTTGAACTGAATTGCTGAGTATGAGCTTGAGAAAGAAGCTAAAAATCCAGGATGACTCCAGAAAGATGATCATGCTATCAACAGAAACAGGGAATTGTGGTGGCAATGGGCTGACTTTAGTAGGGGAAGATTCAGTTTACATTTTTTTTTTTGGGTGTGTACTCTATGGAAAAAATAAATCAAGGAAATGCATAAGATGTCAGAGCTGGAAAGGATCTTAATACATAAAATGGTAAAGCTGGAAAGGATTTAAAAAAAAACAGAACACAGACTGCTAGACTAGTAAGGGATTTTAGAACTAAGACTATTAGAAAGCAGAATATGGAATATTAGAGCTGGAAGGGACCTTAGAAAAATAGAAGAGAGACAACATGGCATAGTGGATAAAATCCTAGACTTGAAGTCAGGAACACTTGGTTTCAAATTTCCTTCTAATGCTTACTAGCTGTATGACCTTGGGCAGAGATCACTTAATGCTTCTGAGCATCAGTGCAATGGGCTTCCTCCACAGATGTTGGGTTTCCCATTTTGGGAGGTCATTAAGCAGAGATTGGATGACCACTCGTTGGATATGTTGTGGTAGATACTCTTTTTGTGGATGAGCTGGCCTGGATGGCTGTTGAAGTCCCTATTAACTCTCGTGTTCTGTGATTTTGTGATCAGTTTCTTCATCTAATCCATCTTTCATACAGCTACCAAATTAATATTCCTAGAATATGAGTGTGATATTACTATTCTGCTCAAAAATCTTCAGTGAGTCTCTATTACTTTTAGAATAAAATAAAAATTTCTCAGCCTGAGATTTAAAACTCTTCATATCTACCTTTCCAGGCTTATTTCCTATTATTCTACTTAATGTATTGGCTACTTTACAGGCCTATTCGAAGCTCAAATGAGAAAATGTATCTAAAATCCTATATACTATTACGATTATTATACAAGGCTAGGACTGGAAGAGACTATAGAATTGCAAGAGATCTTGAGAACATGGAATGTTAGAGCAAAGAACATAAAATGTAAGATCTAGAAGGGAACTTAGAGATAATCAAAGCCACACTCTCTCATTTCATAGGTGAGGAAACTGAGGACACCAAAGGGAAATGACTTGCTCACGGTCACACAGTAGATTACTTTCAGAACCAGGAGGCCTAAAAAGGAACCTGTTGTTTGTTTGTTTCATGAAGAATAGTTCAAGGAGCTTCTCCCTTATTTCTATACCTCTTTAATTCAATGGATCTCTGATCTCATTGAGGAACTAATGAATGAGAAAGAACTTAGCAGGAGCTCAGTATGAAAATGAAGACCTTCTTGAGGTTCTGCTCTCAAGAAGTTTATATTTTAATGGAGAAGACAATATGGGGGAATGGTGGCCAAGAAGTGGTAATTTGGTTTGAAAAGGTACTTGGATCATAGGGAATAAATCGACACACACTCTCTAAGATGAATGGCAATATTGAGTTGATTGTGTTTCTAGAACTAGAAAGGTTTGAGGAAAGTATGAGGCAGTTGGTGACAAGATAGGCAGTAGTAGAATAAAGCACGACTGAGGCCCGCCTAAAAAAGTAGGTTCCTGTGTGGGGTCCAAAATTCTCTGATCTGCAAGAGACACCAACTGAGGCACAGCTCCAAGCCAATAGCACTTTATTAAAGGGTCCGTGGCTCCCTTCCTCTCCTGGTCCCTAGGACCTTGTTTATATAGGGTTTGATACTGGGTTTGATGCCTGTATACTCTGGAGAGGCTAAGCAAAATACAAAATCCCATTGGTTGATAG